ATCTCACACTGTGTTCAAGGAAAAGCCATACAGAGCTCTAACAGCCTGCACACTGTTTAACTGATCTGTTGGTCAACAGGTGCTTGTTGAATACACAAGATATTACCTGGCATAGCCCCTTTATTTAAAGAGTCAGTAATAAGGTCAATAATCTAAATTTGCAAACATTTAAAGATCACTTCTCATTTTAAGATATATTAGGGGAGTTGAGACAGGGTCTAACTATGTAGTCCTTCTATCCTGGAACTCACCAGGCTGACTCACAGAGATCTGCCTGTCTCTGCCTCCTGAGTTCTGGGATTAAAGGGGTGTGCCACAATACCCGGGTCATCTCTCATTTTATAAGGTGATTTTTATATATTTATTATTTAATTTATTCCTTGAAACATCCATGTAAGAAAGATATTATTTCATTATCAGATTAATGAATAATATTGTTGACATTTTAAAATCACTTACTCGGGCTTGCAATATGGTTCAGAGAGTAAAGGTGCTTACCACCAAGCCAGATGACCAGAGTTCAATCCCAAGAATCCACAGAGTGGAAGAGAAGAATCTGCTCCTGCAATTTGACCTCTGACTTCCACTTAGACCCTGTGTAACTCCCATGCACTCACATGTATAAATAAATAATTGTATTTTTTAAGGTTTTAATTAATTGTTCCACCGTCTCTGGGAGCTTGCAGTTTGGAATGTCACTCATCACTAATATATCCTTAAAGAGAAGACCAGTTTTTTAGGGTTTTCACATCACTTTCATCCCCATAAAAAATAATCCATGGTAGAAGAAGTACATAATCCAATCAGAAGTCACGGACAGTCTCCAGCAACCAAGGCAGAGAGGAAAACATAAAGACATTCAAGTCTCACCCCTAGCAACTATGAGAGACACATGATTTGAGGTCTTGATTTCGTAGAACACAAGTGGGATGGATTCTTAAGCCTATTTTAGAGTTGTGCTTTGAATCAAACGTTTATTTGACTTTAGACAAGAAATCCGCTAGTCCAGATGCAACAACAACGAAAGTAGCTAAAGCAGGGATGGGAGTTGACTTAGAGGAAGCTCTGGGAGTATCAGACATAAGACTCCTGAAAGAGAAGACACATACATTCACACACACACACGCACGCACGCACGCACGCACGCACGCACGCACGCACACTCACACAGGCACTAACAACCACAAGAGAAAGAGAGAACACATCAGAGCTTGCACAGGACCCGTTTCAGCACCATGGACAGAACAGGAGCACTCCCTCACAGGGGCATCTATCCAGCTCCCTCAGGGTAAAGGAAACCTAAAGCTATGGACTTCTATGAGACCCTGGACCACTAGAGAGCAAATATAAAGAAGCTAAGGCATCATTATTATCTTTGTAGAAAAGCATACCCAACCTTTGAAAGACCCGCTCGGAATGCTTCTGCATGCCCCCTGCCCCTCTGTCTTCCCCGCCTGTGCCGATGCTGGGTGTTCTCTCTGGAGCAGGCAGGAGGGCAGCGCGGCGGGGACTGAGCAGGGCAGGGCCAGGGTTCGGCCAGGGGCTGGAGAGTCCAGCGCGGGCGGCGCCTGGAAGGGGAACTCGGGCTGGGAGAGCAGCGGTGCTGCTTGTCCAGGAGCTGCAAGCGGGGAGCCACCTCCAAGGCCAAGGACACAGGGGCCGCGGAGCTGCCGGGGCCTCCCAAGCCTGCACCCTGGCAGGGCTCGCGCCCCCGGCCCACCCCGCCTGGCACCGCGCCTCGGGGCTGGGGCCGAGCAACGAGCACCAGGTGGGCAGGCCCGAGAACCTGTATTTCGCCTCATTTGAAAGACTCTGTGTTTCACCTCATTTGAATGACTCTATACTTCGCCTCATTTGAATAACCCTGTATAGCGCCTCATTTACATTGACCAATGGGAATAGCTCTGTACAATGCCTCATTAGAATTATCCAATAGAATCCCTGCTTCTAGCTTGCGCCTTTTTCCTATATAAGGACCCCTTTCCCTTGGCTCGGCGCGCTTAGCCACACAGAAGCTAAGTCGCCCCGGGTACCCGAGTCTCTAATAAAACCTCTTGCGGTTTTGCATCCAAGTCCGTGGTCTCGCTGATTCCTGGGTGCGGGTCTCCTTCTACGAAAGTACCTCTTCGGGGGTCCCTCACCTTGCCTTGAGCAGTGAGGAGGCCACCCAACCTCAGAGACTAGGGACAACAGGAATTCAACAGTGGATTGGAGGTAGCTTCCTTTCTCCCCAGATCTTAGTGTTCAGGACAGCGATGGTCTAACAAAACCACTGGGGCCACTGTGCCAGCTATGAAGCTCAGGTTATGCATAGGGACTTCACTACAAGAGTGAAATAAGAACCTAAGGCAACCCATACACTTCACAACCAAGCTGAATGTTCCACATGAGCTGCATTGGCTACATTTTTACCAAAAGGCAGCAGGAAGTTGACTGACAGTCACACTGAGAGAAGCTTGAGCAAAACAGACCTCATTGTCCCTCCCCCACAGTGACATACTTCCTCCAACAATGTCACACCTCCTAATAGTGCCACTCCCTCTGGGGACCATTTTCTTTCAAACCACCACAGTTGGAATAAGAATTATTATATAAAGACGTTGTTTGGAAAGTTTCTTCTAAGCTAAACAGTAAACTCTAAAGACAGAAACTGCATTCTCTCCTTCCTTGGTCCTGGCACAATGCTGAGGACATGATAGAATTTGCTCTAGAATAGACTAGATAACAATCAGAGTAGAAAGCAGTATACATTATAAGTCTCTGCTCGGTGAAATGTATATGTAAACGTTCATACTTCTATGTTATACATGTGTGCATGGAGGTTATGCTGTGGGTTTTCCTGGGGACATATGAACAAGCATCTATTTGTCTCAGATGGGGGACTGACAACAGTGTAAAGAAATGATGCTACTCAACTCTAATTTGTAAAGTCAGGGAGTTTATCAGGGTTACTTACAGAATCAAGGGTGACTCAGAGGCAGCTGCAACAACAAGAAGCCCACCCCAGGATGGGTGACAACAACCAAATCTATATCTCTGGAGCTCCTTGCACAACTTGCGGGTGGCTCAGACTTGGGGTTTCCTCTCCAAGGATGGTTTGTTGATTTTATTAACTTAGGGAGAGAGTCTTAGCTTTCTTTGCCTAAATTCATGAACTGCTTGAATCCTATGACCTTCTCCCATACCCACAGAACAGAATGTTCTCTTCAGTGGAACTAGCCACACAGCACATGAGTATCAGTGAAGGAAAATGTCACCATGGTAGAGTGGTAAGAAAGGGTGTTTGTTTTTTACTTGTTTGTCTTAAGCATTTTGCTGTATGTGATGTTTTCATAATGGAGAAAACTTTGAAGGGAGTTGGAGAAGAGGAGTGGATAGAAAATAAAGAGGCAGTCACCACTAAGGGTTGAAGACGACTGATATGGTTTTCTGTGTCACTTCGGAAAAGCTCCTCTCTCCCTCTGACCATGCCACTAACAAACAGAAAAACCTTCTTGTGTACCTCCCTGCTGCCACAGAAGAAAAGCTGCCCCAGTTCTGTACCCAACTGAAAGTAGACCCAGGAGGTTTTGCAAGGCCAAGGAAGCTCAGGGTGGATTGTCAGGCTCCCCAGGCTTAGAAAGATCCCATTGCCCCAGCCCTAGCTCAACCTCGGACCAAAGCCCTCACTCTGGAAGCTCTGTAATAGTCAGTCTCAGCGATGTCAAGTGCAGCCAATCCAGGCGGTCTCCTGGGGTTTAGTCTGTCCCTTCACCCCTCCCAAACAATTTTTTTCTATTCTGGTCTTATCTAACATGCCTTTCACCCTCCCTACCTCCACCCCCAGTTTTCCAGCACCCTTTGACTTTCATCCTTCAACTATCTCTCTCCACCGTCTCTCCTCACAACAGTTGACAAGAGGCTCATCTTTCAAGTCTGTCCTACTGCTAGTCTAATCCTACTCCACCTTCTTGTTCTATGAATTCATCTCTATTTCTTACTGTAACTGAACACCAGACTTTCTCTGGGTTCCCTAACCCCTGTGCAGGACCCCGGAGAGCACTCCCAAATGAGCACACTATGCAGGTGGGTAGAACAAGGTGTTAGACCACATGACTACACTCCCAGTCTCTTGTTTAATCTTGTATTTGGCTCAGAACTGGCTTAGGGTAAAGAGGGTGTTGTGTGTTGACTGAGGTCCAGGAGTTCTGTTCGCAGAGAGAATTTACCGAGTCCACTGTGGTGGAGATGGAGCAAAAGAGGAAAAGTTTTCTGAGTCAGACTTCCAGAGAAGTCTGTTTTCTGTGTGTACAAGCCAGGAGTGTGCAAGCCAGGAGCATAGTGCCTGCTCAGAGGCTGGGGGATGATGAAATGAGCTTCCCAAGGTTAGAAAGAGTATAGTGAGTGCTTCTGGCTATACCTGTCACTAGAACTCAAGCAGATAAATAAGGATGAAGCCTTATCAACTCTATGTCCTTTATACCTACTACTAGTCTTCTAGAAGACATATTTTGTTCTGCTCTTATATCTGATCTGTTCCTTGAATAAAAGGCAAACACCCGTTTCTGAAGCATGGTACAATTTATTGAGGAAGGAAAGTGTAACATGTCATCATCAAATGATCCAAAACTCAAGAGATTAAGGTACAGATGTGCCAGGTATGAGGAGAGCTTTACAAAAACCAACCATTTGGAAAGCCTGGCCTGTGAGTAGACAACCAGAATGGACTAGGCTAGACTAGAAGGCTCAGTAAGTCATGGGCTCAGGCATTGATGTTAAATTTGGGGCCCATCACAGGGCCTTCTCCAGGAGCACCACCATCCTAGACTAGTAACTGGGCCACCCTGGCCTAGGAAAAGACCCACAATGTAGGAGCCAGGAGTTGAGCCCCTTCTCCAAGGAACCTGAGTGAAAGCAGGGTTGGACTAAGCACCTGTTGATGCTAAGCAGATGGGGGAGGGGCGCAGTTGCAGGCTGAGGCAGGAGACAGCAGGGGAGTGGGAATGTTTTGCTCCTGAGGATCACTTGGAGCGCTGCTGGCTGGAACTGGTGGTCTGAAAGAAGTGGACACTGCCGCTGCCTCCTCTGCCAGACTTGTAGCTGCCGCCTGTGGAAGCCTGGGTGCCCATTCCTCGCTGGCCTACAGAGGAGCTGTCTTCCCTGCCAAGCCTGCTCCCAGTGCTGTCCCTGCTGCAGCTGTTGCTGACACTGCTGTCCCCTCCATAGTTGCTGCCACCAGCCCCTCTGAAGTCTCCGCTGATGCTGCTGCCGCCTCTGGAGCCGCTGCCACCGGCCCCTCTGAAGTCTCCGCTGACGCTGCTGCCGCCTCTGGAGCCGCTGCCACCGCTGCCACCGCTGCCACCGGCCCCTCTGAAACCTCCGCTGACGCTGCTGCCACCTCTGGAGCCGCTGCCACCGCTGCCACCGGCTCCTCTGAAGCCTCCACTGCTGCTGCTTGTGCTGGTAACGTTGCTAACCACCGCTACAGAGAGAGGACAGTTGAGGACAAAGGCCCGGGGAGCTGAAGACTGACTCTGTCTTAGACCTGCCCCGCCCTGGAACTTAGAAAAGATGCCCATCACCTCTGAGGCCTTGGCTTTAGGATAATTGGTGAACTTGGCTCTCTAGTGCCTTAGCCAAGAACAAGATCTGGAGATGTTCACAAAATTTCTGATTCTCCAACTTATGGCACAAGCGGAGGATGGAGAGCCAGAGCATAGTTTACATGAAGAGTACAGCACACAGCTACAGATGAGAGATGGCTGCTGTCACAGGGATGCCTTGAGTGAATTGGACCAAATGCCTGTGCCCATGCACATACACATGCAAAAACCAAAGGAAGATGTCTATCTCCAACTTATTCCCTTGAGATGGGATCTGAAGCTTATCATTTTAGCAAGGATGGCTGGCCAGCCAGTTCCCGGGATCTAACTCCTCAGTCCCAGTCCTAGAACACAGGTGTGCACACCATGCCCAAGTTTTAAGTGAGTAGTAGAGAATTCAAACTCGGGTCCTCGTGCTTGCATAGCAAGGGATTGCCTCCACTGAACCATCTCTATTCCCCAGGGTAGGCTCTTGAATGTGCTACTTACAAATGCTCACAGCACTCTGACATTCTCCAGACATCCTGAGAAGACAAGAGGAGACACAGTCACTTCTTTGGAGAGTCAACAGCCAAAGAACTGGGTTTATAACCTCAGACACCACGTTTTCCCATCTGCCCTCCCAGGGGCCAAGCCCTGGGAATGGAAAGGCAAGTCCAGGTTGTTCCCATCTCCATCGCCCCCAGAGAAGAGGGCTGATTCTGTTTATAACTTGCAGCACCTCTGCCAACCACACTCCATCTCCCTGTCTTCCCACCCTTAGCCCTAAAGATCTGTTCCAAGCAAACTGCCACCTCTCGCCTGCCGCTAAGATCAACTTCTCTGTCTGTGCGTGTCCTTCCCCTCTTCTCCATCCCTGCCTTTATTTACCCACGTTTCCTCCTCCAGGAAGCCTTTCCCAGTGAGGCTTGGGGTGGCATGGGGCTTGGGGCAGCAGTAGTGGTAATGATGGTGGAGAAAACATGAGATGCTGACGCTCAGTGTGTGCTGTATTTGAAATTTTCCTGCTCACAATGCCCAGCTCCCTGGGCCTGATGCTTGTTCATGGAGAACTGTGCAGAAATGGAATGTTTGCATGCCCCCAGCCACAGTCCCACTGATGCTGACCACTCCCTTCTTATCACTCTTAACTCATCTCCGTTGTTTCCCATAGAGACTCATCAGAATTCCTTTTCTTCCCATCCTGGGCTCTCCTCTATCAGATTGAGGACTGACTGAGGGCAAAGGCTCTGAATGAAGATGCATGAGACAGGGGTCAACCGAATGCCCCCTCAACTCTTGACACTGCCTTCACACATGTTGTCCATTCACCAAGCCTTCACCTGCCACTATAAGCTGTGATGTTTTCCAGGGATATGTGTACGGCAAGCACTTCCCCATACAGACTCAGTTTCAGCAATGGGGGTTGCAGGATTGTTCACACTGATTTTCCAACATGGAAGCCACTGGACACATGAAGCTATGTAAATTCATTTCAATTAAATGTAAAGCCCAAATCCTTGGTTACACTACACCCATTTCAGATGCCGGAAGAAGACAGGTATTGAAGCATAGCCAGTAATCCCAGCACTCAGGAGACTGAGGCAGAAGAAACAGAAGATCAAGATCAGCTGGGGCTACATAGTGAGACCCCAGCTCAAAAAAAAAAAAAGAACAGTGGGGGTGGGAAAAGGAAGAGAAGGAAGGAGGGTAAAAGGGAGGGAAGGAAGAAGGAAACCAGGGAGGCTAATGCCCCAGGCTATTTTCATCTTGGAAAGTTCCTGGTCTATAACTTTTATCACAACCTCAACATGCTTTTCCTACCACATTGATGAATAGAAGAAGTATGTGATTCAATATTGTGCCCATGATAAATTAGATAATAATGACTGGTGGAAAACTGTGAACTTGAACTCTGCCTCTGATTCCTTCCTCCTTCCCTGGCCTCTTTCTGACTTTCCCCCTCCCCCCCCCCACAGGATTTCTCTGTATAGCTTTGTAGACCAGGCTTCGAACTTACAGAGATCCTGCTGCCTCTGCTGGGACTAAAGGCATGTACCACCACCACCCAGCTTTGCCCTCTCCTTTTTTATTGTTTTTTTTTCTCCTTTCTCAGTACCTTAGGTGGCTATAAAACCACACTTGGAAAATGATGACCCTATCACCCTCACCTGCACTCCTCGCCCTCCAGCAGCTTGCAGTAGGTGGCAATCTCCACATCCAGGGCCAACTTGACATTCATCAGCTCCTGGTAGTCACGCAGCAGCCGGGCCAGGTCATCCTTGGCCTTCTGCAGGGCAGCCTGCAAGTCTTGGAGTTTGGCATCAGCATCCTTGAGGGCCCCCTCGCCACGCTGTTCAGCTTCTGCAATGGATGTCTGCAGATTGGCGGTCTGGAGAAGAGAGAATAAAAGATGACATTAGCATAAGACTAGGGAACAAATACCTGATGGTCCTTAGGACAGGCTTTCTTCACCTGTCTGTCACTCCTCCTTCCCTTTCCCAGTAGCACTTGCTCACAAGTCAGGGAGATGTTGTAATTTGGCTAATTCATCCTGGGCCCATTGAAATCAACCCCTCACTCATGGGGAAAAAAAAAGAAAAAAAAACATCTGCTTCCTTGAGATGGCATAGGTAACAGCTATCTGGTTAGCCTTTGATCTCTTTTGCAAGACTATTTAAAAAAAAAAATCCTTTCTCTGACCACTTTATTCCAACGATACAAAGTAGCCGTTGGGGTTGTAGAAGTGTGATTTAAAAAAACAACAACAACAAAAAGCTCCATCTTACAGTGTCACTGGCTGCTTTAAACCAACACTGCAATGGTCAGATTAGCTATGCTGGCCAAAATTGCAGCCCTCCCTCCTGCTGGGTCCTGGGGCATTCCAAAAAGTCCAGCCTCCATGAGAAACAGTTGGAGAGCAGAGGCTCCTGATGCTGTGACTCCTAAGAACTGAGAAAAGTGGACAAAGGAGCTCAGCTGCTGCCACACCTGCTTCTTCACGTTCTCAATCTCTGCTCGAAGTCTCTGGATCATTCTGTTGAGATCCATGATCTCGCTCTTGGTGCTCTTCAGGTCATCCCCGTGCCTGCCCGCTGTGGTCTGCAATTCCCCAAGCTGACAAGAAGAGATGGATCAGAAGGGCTTTGTAAAGTGTTGACAAATTTTTGATGAAGCTGATCAGAGCTTAATGGCCTTAGGGGTGAAGGGAAGTGTCCCACCTTGGTCTGGTACAGAGCCTCGGCCTCAGCCTTACTCCTCTGGGCAATCTCCTCATACTGGGCCTTGACCTCAGCGATGATGCTGTCCAGGTCCAGGCTGCGGTTGTTGTCCATGGACAGGACCACAGATGTGTCTGAGACATGACTCTGCATCTGGGACAGCTCCTATTGGGGAACATGGATGGTCACAGATTCCAAATGATACTGGGACGTCTCTACTAGCAGAGATGTCTAAGAATACTGAATAACGGGGTAATAGAAAAATTAAGCCTCATTTCTGTAGGTCTGGCTACAGCCTACAGAACGCCAGCAACAAGGCTACAAGAAAAGGGCAAGTTGCAAAGATATGTCAGCCTGGAAACACAGCTGGGGAACCCAAGCACGGCTTCTCTTTGGAGTGAAGGGTGGAGGGTGTTATTTAGTAGCAGATTGTGATCTGAAACTGTGGAGTTGTGGGGAAAGAGAGGCCTTGACCCTGCAGGCAGGAGGAGCAACTGGGGCATTTCCTAGATGGAACAGAACTGAGTTAGCTGGCTTTAAGGGTATGCTGCCACTTGGCCTGCCCCCCACCCCCCGCAAAGTTGTGTTTATGAAGTTGCTGGTAGCCAGTCTCTATGCAGCAAACTGAGGAATCACCATGTCATAGAGAGTTCTCAGAAAGTTGATTTCATCTGTCAGACTGTCCACTTTAGCCTGCAGCTCCACCTTGTTCATGTAAGCAACATCCACATCCTAAAAGAAAGAAAACCCAGAAATGACTTCTGTCCCCTTCTACCCAAGCCTCCCTCTGAGCCCTCCTCTCTCGATGGCCCTCTCCTAGTCCTTCTAGAGGTAACTTCTTACCTTACCTTTGAAAGGGAACAGAGACAAAGTAAGGTACAGGTGTAGGCTAAAAATTATCTTGATCAAGGCCACACATGAGATGTTCATCATTAGTTCACATTACTAATTACCTTGTTAGTTACAGTCAGCTTTAAAGATGAACAGCTCCCTTCAAAGATTTCCCAAGAATGTAAGGAAAGGAGGAAGCCCTGTCCATAGCAGTACTCTGCTCCCTCTGTGGGACACAAAGGGATTCTGGGTCTACTCCACTTCTCACTCACCTTCTTCACCTCCACAAACTCATTCTCTGCAGCAGTACGTCTGTTGATTTCCTCTTCATACCTGGCAGAGAGAGCCACAGGTTGAGACAGTGACATTTCAGAATTGGAGAGACGACTCAGCAGTTAAACATACTGGCTATTCTTCCTGAGGTTCTGAGTTCAATTCTCAGCACCCACATGGCAGCTCAAACCATCTACAACCGTAGAGCCATGCCATCCAACACCCTCTTCTGGAGTGCAGGTGTCCATGCAGAAAAAAACAGCCATAGACATAAAATTCAGAAGTGGAAAAAATGAGGACCCCTGTGCTACTGCAGAATCTCTCCACCCAGACACATGACACCTGCTTCATGGGCACATGGCCTGTGCAATCACACAGAGGCCACAGTATCCTCACCCTGATATCACCATCATCTCAAAATTGTTCAAAAATTTTAACAAGGAGGCTATGTAATCGTTTTGCCAAGAACTGAAAATCACATACTACATGGAGACTTCTCAGAGCTCAGGGTCTGCCTCTCCTTCCTCCAAGTTCAGTGCAAAGCTAAAGTGTATATACTTGGGGTGTATCAAGAGTCCAACTGCTTGCCTGAGCTCTTTGAACAACTTCAAAGAGTCAATGGAGGAAGGATGGGGCCTCCCAGGAGTAGGTATACCCCTCTACATGGGTCCTGACTCCTGGGGATGTCTGGAGCTCCCTCCCATCTCAGGAGGCCCTGTTCACTTCTCAGGTGTGCACTCAAATTTGGAACCTTAAGAAGGAGGCATAGTGAAGCTGCAGAAGACCAGACACATGAAAGACCAGAATGAATTTACACAGTACATCCCTGGACCAGGGGCTAGGAAGGTCTCAGACCCAGCACTGCCATGCCCCCACTGTTTCAGAATAGCAGCAACAGGAACACAGGGATATGCCCTTCTGATGACCTTCCTTAGTAATTCTGTCTGCAACTTCCAGGGAACCCTCTTGCTCATCTGGGCTGATGATATAGGAGGGAAATCTTACATAGTTTCAGGAGACTGAAAACCTCATAAGGATCAGTCCCACAAGCATGGGTTCCCGCCTCTCCAACTTCGACTTGGCCAGACTTCACTCAACAAAGAAGAGAAGAGTGTTGAAATCCCAAATGAGGCAGCTCCTCCACTGGGACCCTTACTTCTTTTTAAAGTCTTCCACCAGGTCTTGCATGTTCTTCAGCTCTCCCTCCAGGCTTCCCTTCTCCCCGAGAAGGGAATCTAACTGCTTGCGCAAGCAGCTGATGTAAGATTCAAAGAAAGGTTCCAGGCTCTGGGGGCCTGAGCCAGAGCCTGTGGTCTGCTGCTGCAGGAGGTTCCACTTGGTCTCCAGGACCTTGTTCTGCTGCTCCAGGAAGCGCACCTGCATCAAGAGAAGAAGGAAAAGAGACCTTCAGGTAGGCACATGGGCTGCCCACCCCAAAGGGTAGGAAGATGCAGAACAGAGCCAGCTCCTCAATCTACGGTGACCTCTGTGTTTCAGAATTTGGAGAAGATTCAGATTAGAAAAGGGGGAGCCAGTGTGTATGGAGTACTTTGTAAACATCTTGTTTTCATATATCCTATGTCCCTTAATTCTTACAACCACCTGGACAGCTGTAAATCATCAAAAGTGAGATGCGAACAGAATTGTAAAATGAGGAGCCAAACCCAGGACTACTCTTGGTCTATCAGGATCCTTCAAAACGTGACTAAAGCCATTTTAAACTAAATTTTAGAATTTAGCTTCTTTCTCCTCCATGAAGGTAGTAAAAACAGCCAATGTATCCTCACCTTGCAGCTCACCAAGGCTCACTTCAAATCATGGGCTCCTCTCTGCCTTGGACCCAGCATGCCTTTCTCTGCCCCACTGTTGACAGTTCAGCTTACCATTGGCAGAGGGACACTATCACTGGGAAGGTACAGTGCTGCTAAGGATATGAGAAGCAGCCCCAGGGTCTGTGCAGAGTTAGTTAGCTGCTAGTTAAAAGCAGTTGCTTGCCAAACAGAAGGTAAGCTGTTCTGGGTTTGTGGCTCAATTTTTCATAACTAAAAGTGCAACTGGATCCTTCAACATGCTGGCCCTCATCTCATCACTAAAGGGAAACTAAAACCAGGAATCCTTCCCTCCTTCCACAGTTGGAATGAGAGGACACAAAAAACAAGAAAGGTGTGCTCACTGCCCTGGAAGCAGTAAGGTAGAACAGGCCAACTGCCAGACATCCCACTGGCAACTTTGAGTACAATCCCCTAGCAGCCCAAACACCCCACAATGCCTTGGGGCTCTGGCCTTACCTTGTCGATGAAGGAGGCAAACTTGTTGTTGAGTGTCTTGATCTGTTCACGCTCCTGGGCCTTCACTTCCCCAATCTGGGGGTCAATCTCCACATTGAGGGGCTGCAGGAGGCTCTGGTTGATGGTCACTTCCTGGATTCCCCCAGGGCAGCTACCAGGGCCAAAACCACCAGGCCTACCAAAGCCACTAGCTCCTCCAAATCCAGATGCTCCCCCAAATCCAGATGTTCCCCCAAATCCAGATGCTCCCCCAAAGCCACCTCCTATTCCTCTGCTACCACCAAAACCACCTCCATAGCCACCTCCAAAGCCACTGCCACAGCTGCCATGCCCTCTGCCGAAGCCACCAGTCTGGGAGCCACCAGCTGCCACACTAATAGAGATACTCCTGCTGCCACCCAGGTTGTAGAGGCTCTGACTGCCAAAGCCACCTGCTCCACTCCGGAACCCACAAGCCCCTCCACCGGCTGCCCGAGTTCGTGCCACACAGCTCCTCCTGCTGCTGCCAGATACCACAGCCGAGTGGCCGGAGAAACCCTGGCTTCCACGGCTGAAGGACTGCTTGCAGGCTTGTCTGCTCATGGTGAGGAGTGTGACAGTGAGCTAGCAATCACTTAGCAGAGCAAAGGGCTGCAGAGAGGATAGGGATGACAGAAGAAGCTGGCCTTTATATTCCAGGCTGCTTGACTTGGCAGAAGGAGAGGCAAGCAATTACCTGAGAGTCATCTCGGGTTTGGTTTGCCTTACAGGCAATAAGTTACTTCTCGGTTCCCAGCACACCTCAAAGATAATCCCCTCCGCCAAAATGCCTTTGCTTTCTTAGCTTAATCACCCAAACTTGCCTCAGTTGACAGAAGGCAGGCTCTCTGCTCCCTCCCAACATGTGATTTCCTCCAGAGTTTCAGAAAGTGAAGCAGAAACCATTATAGCAGGATAAACTGGCTCTAGACCCCAAGGGCTTAGGGGCCCTTGACCTCTGTGACCCCATCAGCCTCTCCCAGGAAACTGAGTTCCAGACCTAAATTCAATGGATGATTGTAATGAGCCAGGTCTTGTGGCACTCCCATAGTGCCCAAGCTATTTCCCTCGTTACTAGACATTGTCTTCTCATGACATGTCACCTGTGCCCTATGTTTCAGAGAACACCTAGAGTGAAGCTGGCAGTAAGAACGCATTAAAACAAGGTCCAGTCTGCTCCCTCTGTAGTCAAAGTTTTCCATCTCAGCAGACCCAGAGTTTGAGGAGAAACATGGTAGTTGTGAAAAAGGAACTAAAGTAGAGCCAGAGTGTATAGTCTCTGGGAAATGGAAGCCCAAGATTTGAAGCCAAGAAGTATGAGGCTAGGGAGAGGAGAAGGTCTCAGAGCAGGCCTACCCCCACCATCCTGAGGTCTTGTAGCAGTCCTGTCCCCACCATCCTGAGGTCTTATAGCAGCCCTGCCCCTACCATCCTGAGGTCTTATAGCAGGCCTGCCCCTACCATCTTGAGGTCTCAATGTAGTAGCTGATAGTTACTGGATCCACAAACAAGACAGGACAGAATACAAAGACAACTCGGCTGGACAGTAGAGTCACTTCAAAGACCTCACTCATCCTGGAATAAGAATATATGTACACCTTAGTATCTATAAAGATACAAGCATTGGGATCTCCTTCCCCTCTGCCATCTGATCTAGTCAGTATCCCTGGCTGTTCACATGCCAGCACTCCTCTAGGCTCTGATCTCCCCTGTGGAAGTACTTGACTGCTACCACTCTGCCTGTCCAGCCCCTAGCACACCAGGGTGAGCACACCACAAAGGATCAGCTGACTCAAGACTTGAGGTCCAAGATCACAAACACCTAGACCTATTTCCACGCAGAGGAAGTATGGGTATCTGTCTGTATAACAAGCATCCCTGTAAATCCTTTGGATCCTGGCCACTTAGGAGGCCCTCATCTAGGCTGGGATGTCTTGCACCTTTTCTACTTGCAGGCTGCTTTTTGCTGGAGACATTTTTACATGACCCAGGGTATAAAGATAGATACACAAATCAAACCTTTAGCAATAAATCATAAAGAAATTTATTTTTTATAATTTATTTAACTTTATTTTGATGCATGAAGGTATCAGATCCCCTGCAACTGGAGTTACACAGTTGTGAGTTGCCATATGGATGCTGGGAATTGAACCCAGGTCCTCTGGTAGAAAGAACATCCATTGCTCTTAACCACTAAGCCATCTCTCCAGTCCCAAGGAATTTATTTTTAAGACAATTGTTTAGTATACATATAATCTTACCATACTAATGAGATGAATGAAGTTATTTATATGTATACATATTTATAAAGAGTTAATTCTTGGCTAAACATTTGATGCTGCAGGATACAGAGCATCTACAATATTTTTCAGAATTGACTGGTATTTTGATTTTTATAATTATCAATGCTGAGACCGCCAATTCACATAAACACACAGCACAAAATGGCAGAAGTCTACATAGAACCATTTCAGAGATTTTGGCAATTCTGCCCTCATCACAACCCAAAAGTTGATGAATGATACTTTATGAAGCTCAAGTCAGCAATTCAAAGATGAATTTTTAAAATCAAACATTTTAACATAACACAACCTAAAGATAAACTCATTTCCTATGTGCATGCTGAGGAAAGACAGTGGGAAAATATTTATAGTCATTGTTTTCCATAATCCAACAGTTACGTTTCTACAGAAACAGAAAACTTTGTGAGTATGGAAAAAACCTGCAAATCTGAATCAAAGTGCTTTGGGCTGAATCCTTTGGTTTTGTGTGATATGACGCCATGCACAGTGCAACACACTCATGATATGTGTTGAGAAGTTAGACTATAGTGAGGTCCACAATGTAACACAGGGAACACTGCCAGAAACAGCTCAGACTCATTAAGTGTTTGGCTTTTAGCAATATTTCTGTCATTAGGCTTTCAAAAACCCTTTATTACCAAATTTTTCATGACTCCCATATTCAGTCACTGAACCCCATACCAAGTGGCAATCTTCAGCTTAAAAGTCTAGACTCAGATCTAGTTCTATCTGGACCAGGGTAGGGGATAGAGGACCCCTTGGTGGCAGGACAGGTACCGCCATGAATGGCTATTCTAGCTTCTAGGAATTCTTTGCTGTCTCCCCACATACATACCACCTCACCTTCACACCCAGCCATCACACACACGGTGCAGTCACACTTTCCAGATATTATCCCCATACAAGACTTACATGATGTGGCAACAGCAGGAGAGTCTGACTCTAGACTTCACCACAAAAGAACTGTCTGGATTATCTGCAGGATTCCAACCCAGCTGGTGGCAAGAGGATAGAGAGCAAGCAGAAGACTGGTGGAAGGCAGAAGGACCAAAGACAACCAACCTCCCTCATTCCTGTGCTCCCCAGTTCACATGTGGCCATATGCCTAACTGAGTCCCAGCTTCATCTCTTGTTGTCTCCTTGGTCTAAGGAAATTTATTTTTGTGTGTCCAGTTCTATCAAGTGTAAAATGAGGCTAGTAATGCCAGCTACTTTATGGGGCTTTTGTGAGCAGTAAATAAGTTAAAGTGTTTGGTGTGGAGACCAGCAAGGTGGCTCAGCAGGCAAAGGTACTTGCTGTCAAGCTTGATGATCCGAGTTCAACCCCTGGGGAGAACCAGATTCCACAAGGGCTCCTCTGACACTTCTACACTCCTATGTGCACACAAACCCTAAATATAACAATTTTTAAATGTTTTGTGTAGAGCTGGACACACGAAAAAGTGTTATAGCATAAGCTACTGTTAGTATTGTCTAGGTACAGGAAAGGAATTCGTTATGTTCTGCCCTGGCTGATAAGATAACCTTGTGGCCCACAAAGAGGTGAGAATGGGAAAGAAAGTCAGTAATGAGCAGTAATGGGCATCGGAATGGAGGAGAGCTACACCAGAAGCAGCTGGCCTGGGTAACCCTGGACCATGAGCCAACACCAGAAATCTGTCCTAATCTGTCAAACACTTGCCCGCCTCTCTGATTTGTGTGAGTCCCACAGCATGTAACAAAATTAAAAATACCTTGAAAAGGATAAGGTGCCACCCAATCAGTCTGCCAGAAAGCCTGTCAGAGCTGAGTTCAAATCCTCCCACCCTGTAGTGACCTTGGACAAGGTACTTGGCATTTCTTTCCTTATTTATAAAAAGAAACATCTATCCCAATTGAAAGACATTTTTGTAATTGATAATGCATAGTTTCCAGCAATAAATATTTGGATTTAAGGGTGGAGGCTGGGAACAGAACCTAGTGTGCTGTAGAAACATATTAGACAACTGAACTGCTAAGAGATCGGTGAGAATTTTGAGAAAGCATCTCATCCAATTGCCCCAGGTGACTGTGAATTCACTCTGTAACCCAGGCGGCCTTTGAGGTTACCATCCTCCTGCCTCAGCCCTGAGTAGATTTGCCTTACAGGTCTGCACTTGTGCCAGTCGCCCGTGGAAACACAAGGGGGCTGTGTAATGCTCTTCTTTGAGACACGGTACCTACCCACTGGATGTCAAGCCCTATCCCTCCAGCGAGGTTTTTATTCACGTTAAAAGCAGAGGATCTGATACCTTGCCTGGGAAGAAAGCTGAGCCAGGCTCCCCTGAAGCCACAGGTAAGCACCTAAAAGAACACGGACAGCCCTCCATGTCTCCTATGTCCTCCCCCTCCCTGGACTCCAGCATCAAGGCAACAAGGGTCAGCCTCCTAAGTGTGGCCATTGCTGCCTCCTGACGCCAAAGGGAGACACTGGGCAGATCACAAGGGCCTGTGTTGAGCTGGGATCTCCCAATCCATGCTTCTTGAGCCTGCCAGTGCATTTTCACCTTGCCTGGCAAGTTAGAATTGTTTTTCCAACAGCTCAATGAAGTTGCCAAGACTATCCAGAGTTGCCACGCTTGGCACTGGTTTCCTTATTTGCTGTAGGATCTGGTAGAGGAGTGTCTGAATGGCTTGACTACTGCCGGCAGCCTGAGTTCTAATCCCTCACATGCCAAGATCTTCTGTAAAAAGATTAGCATGCAGCTGAGCACTCTGGACTCTTACTCCCCACCCATAAAACAGGAAGAATTTGTTCCCAGGTAGTTATTTACTTTAACCAAATTGTTCTCTGGTATTCCCCTGCAATGAAGAGGCTTAAAAGGTGTCAGGATAATTGTGGGTGGGGGAATAAAGTGAACGACACTAGTCATCACCTCTAGGTCAAGGTGAGCAGGCAACCCTCTCCACCCCAGGGCCTGCTGAAGGGGCAGGAGGTATCTTTTTAAATGTGTAGAGCCATGGATCCATTTCAGAAGAGTCACTATTTTGTTATAGAGGAGGTGAAGAAAAAGGGCAGGGCGGGGAGGGAGAGTAGGAGGGAAGGTGGGAGGCAGGGAAGGATAAATGAAACTGTCACTCTGGGAATACTACCTCTGAATAAAAATTAGCATTTTTTCTCTCCTTGATACCATGTTGAAATAAGAACTCATCGCTACTAAAATTGTTTAGCCAACTACTAGTAAAAATGTATGCTAATAAAGAGCAAGCTCACATTACAGCTCGAGCTTGATGATGAAGCAC